ACCTGTCTGTCTTGTCCTGGCCCCACCCAACTGTGCTGCGCAACACCCCTCACCCTGTGCCTGCCCCCCTTCCCCCTAGGTGACCCCTAGGTCCTCACCCCACCCCGTTATGTGTTTAAAGTTAATGGTTTCAGATGTGAACATCATGTGTTAACTGTAGCTCTGTACATTTTTTGTGGGGGGGAGGGTTGGCAGGGAGGGGTCAGAGGGTAGGGGTCAATGATTTGTTTGTTTGTTTGTTTTCATTTTCCAAAAAAAAAGAAAAGAAAAAAAGGGCGGGTTTGTTTTTGATGCGCACTGAATATCTATTTAATGTGTGTTCTGATGGGTTTTTTTTGTAACGATTTTTAAGTAACGTCTGTGCCTCCGCTGGTCTGAGGGTGGAGGCCCCAGGCAGGAACCGCCCACCCCCTTCTGCCCTCACCAGGGCCCCCAACAAGAAAGCATTACATGCCCTTGGGGGGTCGGGCAGTGGGGCGTCCCAGCACCTTGAGGGAGTTTCCTGTATGAAAACATTAAATTGGAAAAGAAAAAACCTACACAAACACCAATATTTGAAGGAATAAACAAAATGAAACAAGTGAACATCCTGCCTACTCGCTTGGGGGATGGGGTGGTCTTGGGGGTCACTGAGGGGTCTCTTGAGTGTGATAAGGGGTGGTCTTTCTCAGGAGGACCAGGTGGGATGCTGGGGTGGTTCACCCCCACCCCAGGGAGTGGGAGGTGGAAAGTCCATCCCTGGGTCCCTGGGCCCCCAGACCGTGGTGGGGTGCAGAGGGAGGGTTGTGTCCCGGAACAGTTCCCACGCCCCCTCCCCGCCCTAGGGTGAGGGTGGGCAGGAAGCCGCCCGCCAGGGGAGGGAGGGGCCGGCCACTTCCCAGTACCCAAGGCCGGAAGTCCTGCAGGGTGTGGGCACGGGGCTGCCCGCCTGCTTCGCCCTCTCGGTTCTAGGCTCTAAAGTGGGCTGAAGAGGAGCCCACGGACTCCGTCTCCAGGGAGACCTGGCCGCAGGCTCTGGGCCACCGTTTCCCCAGCCACAGAAAGGAGGAAGCAGTTCCATCCGCCTGCCCACGCGCAGGGGCCAGCCTGGGGACCCCTGACTTGAGCTCCACCCCTGGGGGATGCCTGTAGGCCTCCAGAGCCGCCTGCCCAGAATCAAGCCAAGGCCTGGGGCTGGCGCCCAGGGCCTCCAGGTTTGGCTCCACTCCTGTCCTGGGTGGACTCTCTCCAGCCTGCCCAGCCTTGCATTCCAGTGCTCCCCAGTCCTGACCATTACAATCAGGCCCTCCAGGCCTGTGACAGGCCAGGCCCTACCCAGGAACACCCCTAGCCAGCGCGCCTGCTCTGCCTGGGAACTTTCCTGGTCTGCATCTCCCACCGTTTCCGCCTGGGGCTCCCTGAGGCCTGGCCAGATGTGAGTCCTCTCTGGAGTCCTCCCTTCCACTGTGGGGCTGGGCAGAGACACACAATCATAACAATACTTCAGGTCATTTTACATGTATTTCCTCACAGCCACCTAAGAGAACTAATTATTCTCCCACTTGGTAGATGAGAAAACCGTGGCCCAAAGAGAAACACTCCTTGCTCCAGAGGATTGAGGTGTTTGTTAAATTAGTTGCCACCATCCCCTCTGCTGATTTCTAGTGGTCCAAGCCCCAGCTGCAGGGATCCTAGGGGGGAAGAAAACAGGTGCCATCCCGGGAATTTCCTGGGCACAGCTTGCTAAGGCTCTCCTGCCCCTCCCGCCGCCCAGTCACCCCCAGATCATTGCACGCCCACGCCAGGAAGGTAGGCTGCACAGGTCAGGCTGATCCCTTCAGATCTTAAGCTCAAAGGCGCAAACGTCCCTGCGGGCCTGGAGGGCCACAGGGTGTAGGCATGGGTGAGACACCTCAGGTCGAAGCCCCTGCCCACGCAGCCGGGCCCCCGGAGGTCAGGGCTGTGGCCCAGGTGGCCGCCGCAGGGCTGGGTGGGGGATGCGGAAGGAGGGTGTAGACCGAGGCGCCCGCTGAATCACAGGGGCTGTGTCTGCACGCTGCAGGCGGGGGCGCTTGTCCTGCTCCCGGGGAACTCACCCCTCAAGGCGATGTCTGGCGCCCAGCCTGGTGGTCCGAGGGCCATAGCCCTGCCCCTGAGTTCTAGGAGTACCCACCCCGGGTAGGGGTTGCGGTCTGCGGGACTGTAGTGCACACACCTGCCCCGAGGGCAGGGTTGCGGGGAGGCGACCAGCCGAGGGGGCTCAGGCGGCCGGAGAGGTAGCAGGCCAGACCACGTAGGGGTGGGCAGCACGGAAAGATAAACTGAGTCCCTCAGAGGACGGGAGCTGCGGAACGACAGGGGGCGGGGACGACCCTGCACCGCCCCCTCCCCCATTAAGGGGAAGACTGAATGGGAGGGGGCGGCCCCCGGAAGCCCGCAGGGATGGAAACGCGGTTTGCATGGCAACGCGCCGCGAAACGGGCCTGACGTCACCATGGGGCGGGCGCCCCGCCTGCCCCCGTACTGAGTCGAACGGCCCAGGCCAGGGGAAACCTGATTGGTGGCCAGGTCGTTTGCTCCTCTGTACGCACCAATAGCCTCACGGGGCTGCCGCCCGCAGGAGGGACTCGGGCGTGGACCAGCTGAGTGCGCAGGCGCGGCGCGGAGGCGTGCGGCCCCTTCCCTCTGGCCGCATGTCCGCAATTTGGGGCGGGAGGCGCGCCAAGCGGTCTGACGGCCGGCTGCTCCCGGACGGAAGAGGGGGTGTACTCGGGGGCGCCGCACGTGGATCCTGGCACGGGTACGATCGCGTGCACCCCTCTTCTACGCTCAGCCATTGCCTGCTGCCCCCTCACCACGACCGCGTGTGCGGGACCCCCGGGCTAGGGGAGCGCAGGGGGAGGAGCGGGAGGAAGTCACTTGGGCTGAGGCTCTGCCAAAGGAATAGGAGTTTGCCAAGTATAGGAAGAGGAAAATGGTGCCCCAGGTGGGGGGCACTGCGTGTGCAAAAGCGCCTGAAGACGTGAAAGCGGGTGCATTTGGGGAACATCTGCGAAATCAGGTTGGAGGACATAAAACAAAAGGCAAAGACCCGAAAGGGGTGATTCCAAAGTCTGGCTTGGGGAGGAGGAGCAGATGTTGGGAGCAGAGGCCAGAACATCCCAGGAGGTGTCTGAGAACTCCAGTGGGGCTTCGGAGAGGACTGGGGAGGGACAGATGGGGCGTTGTCTGAAGGTCTCTGGTTCACATTGAGATGGTTGGCAAGGGGGCTGCAGGGAGTCCGGAGGTTGGGGGGGGAGCCTGAGATACCCCTAAGGGCACCTGTCACCTGGAAGTTTCTGGGCCAGGAGCTGGGAGAGTCGCAGACCCAGGGGGGATTATGGCAGCAGGAAGTCCTCGTGGCTGCCTGACTGGCTCAGTTTTGTTCTGGCCAGGAGTCCACTCAGAAGGCAGCCATAAGAGTGAACAGGGTGGCCTTTGCCAGGTGGGGAGGATGTGAGCCAAAACCTTTGGTCCTAGGTTAGCCGCTAGGCCTTGCCCTACCAGACAGCTGCAAGACTGAGGAGCAGAAGGGCGCCTGCTGGCAGTGTGGACAGGCGCGGCTGCCAATACGTGGAGTCAGGACTGAAGGCATGGATCCAGATAGTGGCTCACAGGTGGGCCGTGCTCCCGGGGTGATGAGGCAGCTGTGAGCGGGCAAGAGAAGGTCACCGGGGTCATGTCTTTCAGCTCCAGGCCAGAATCCCCTGGTGGCGGCCAAATGGGTAGTTGGGGCTAGCTGTAGGGTTTTGAAAAGCCAAAGTACACAGTGAGGGGTGGCTTGGGAGGAGCCAGGCCCCTGGCCAGGAGCCGTCTAGGGAGATGGGAGTGTGTGGTGCCCCACTGGGGCCAGCTCCTGCACCCCCAGCACCTGTAAGGAGCCTCAGCACAGCCACTCCCACCAGGCCTGGCGGACCCGCCCTCTTCTGCAGGCATCCTGGGAACCGGAGTTACCGAGCTACAGCCAAGAGTGCTGGGGCCCCACCCAGGAGTCTCCGCTCCAGCCCCACCCACGGCCACCCAGACTAGGGAGGGCAGAGGACAGGCAGCCTCTGGTGTCACTGGGGGCAGGTGAGCAGCCCAGCCTGCAGGTGGGGGTGGGGCTGCTGTCACCTGGGGCCCTTCCCCGGAAGGGAGACTGCCCTTTCAGTGGGCCGCTTGTCCTCGGCTAGGGGCCTGTCTTCCCCCCTACCCATGTCTGCCCCTCTGTCTCCATCCTTCTCTGCCCCTATCTCTCTTCCCTCTGCATTCTCTTTTCCTCGTTCAGTTTCTCCTTTTTGCTTTCCTGTCTACATTTCTGTCTGGGTCTCCATCTCTCGCTAGCGGTCTCCCTCTATTATCGTCCTGATTGTGTCCCACCGTCTCCTCCTCCCGGCCCCTTCCCCACTTCCGCCCCCTCTCTGGGGCCTCCTCCCTCACCCCCGCCCCGCACACATTCCAGCCTCCACCTCCGCCTCGCCGCCCCTCCCTGGAGCCAGCTGCTGCTGCCTTGGGTGCCCAGGATGCAGGGAATGGGATTTAGCCGGGGTCAGAGGTCAGGAGTGTGCGGGGGGGGGGGGCAGGGAGGGCACCCCCTAACTACTCTGGAATGTGGGCGGGGCCTTCCCCACAGGGTTGCGGGAGGCGGTCGCCGGCAGGCAGAGCAGGCAGGAGGAGTTGGGGGCCTGAGACAGCTGTCTGCAACTGCACCGCACACACCCCACAGCCCAGACGCTACCCACAGACCTCCCAGAGAATCGGCACAACCCAGACGCGCACACAGGGCCCTTTGCGGCCACCAGATCCATACCAATCTCCTCGGCCGCCCCACACTCAAATGCATAGCACACAGTCCCCAGCCACCGGGTACATGCTAGTCTCGCCTGAGTGACAGGCCCCAGCTCTGCAACGCAGGGGCCCCAGCCCGCAACAGCCCACATCCCCCCAAGCCCGTCCCAACCCACACTTTGGTACCACAACCGCAATCAACCGTGTGACCCTCAGAAGGAACAGTCACCCGCTCTCACCCTGGGCCAAGACCTCCCTTAGGAAAACCACAAAATTGAAGGTTACACCAGGCAGCCAGAACTCAGACCCTCGGCGACGGGCTTGGCCGAGGCAGCAGCGGCCCCCCAGCACACAGGCGCTCCAGCTGCGGGCGCTGCCCACACACCCTCCAGCCTGTGGGCCCCCGAACAGCGCCAGACCAGGCAGGACAGGTGCTGGGGTGTGGGCACCCTCAGAAGAAGTGAGGCTTCCTGCTGCATAAGAGAGAGTTTTCTGCGTGTCCTGAGCCCCTGAGAAAGAAGCGAAAGGCCAAGGCCCAGGAGCCCCTCTGTGCTGTGCTCTGGTCACTGGCTGCCCTCTGGTCACCCTCGCTGAACCCAGGAAGTGCTGCTGCTTGTGCACTTCTCAGAGGACACACCTGAGGCCTAGAGAGGAGCCTGGACACCCCCTACCTGCCCAGCTGGGCACCTGGGCCATCGCTGACCCTCTGGGGAGGGATGGTGATTTGTGGGTACCTGTGTCTGCCTGCTTGGATTCCAGGGGCTAGGCTGTGCCCACCTGTGAGTTGTGGGCTACTGCTGTGTGCGGTGCCCGGACCTCCCACTTCGGACAGACGTCTTTCCCTGGAGTCCCTAGCAGCTGCCCCAAGAGAGGACCCTCTCCATGACTGCCACTCCAGTGTTGCCACAGAGATGTCAGAGCCCCAGTCAGGGGTACTTCTGCTCCTCTTTGTGCCTGTACGGAGCCTGGGTGCAGGGCCAAGGTCACTTGAGTGGACAGGGCATCAGTGGGGATCAGCTCCTCCTGCCCCTGGGGGGTGGGGCTGTGGACCTCAGCCCTTCCCCAGTCTCAGAAACCCAGTGGGTTTCATCTCCAGTCCCCACTGAGGCAAGCCTTGGGGTTTCCGTGCGCATGCAGGGGTCTCTGTTCCTGCACAAGCTCTGGCATTTCACCGATACCCGAAAGGTGTTCTATGCCTGAATTTGGTTCTTGGTGTGTGATTGCTTGGCTCTGCAACTGTAACCCAGCTGGTGCCCCAGTTTTCCTCAGTAGGGGGGGTCACCATCCAGGTCTCCTTGAAATATGGAAAAAGAAAATGGGACAGGCCTGTGGCTCCCACAGGCCGCCTTCCCAGGCACAGGTGGGCTGCAGGTACACAATGCGTATGCAGGTACACACCCAGGAGGCAAACTGGGTGTTTCCAGGAGTCCCAATCCACACCTGTGGTTGGTGGGGACTGCGGTCACCAGCCTGGCCTTTGCACCCCTGGGATGGAGACCCGGACAGGAGCAGAAAAGGCAGTCTCCACACACCTGGGTCAGGAGTCACAGAGAGCTCCATCCAGGTGCCCCCCCCATGCTCCACCAAAAAGACCACCTTCTAGGAACAGGAGAGAAACTGAGGTCAGGGTGCAGGCAGTTGACTCTGGGTGCTCACAGTTGGCAGCCACCTGGGGCCTCTTAGGGATCTCAGATGGTGGACTCACGCATGTGGACAATGTGGAAGTATTTTAACTCTTCCTCTTGGCTTCTGGCCTCTTGTATCTCCCCTCTGCCCTAGGAGGCCCATGACACAGCACATGGCATGTGCCCATCCCAGGGACATGAGTCATGCTGCCAGCCATGGGCACATATGATCTGTGAGTCCCAGTCCCAGGAGTCATGCACACCCAGCCCTGTTCCCAGCTATCCCACATCCCAGTTATGCACACACCTTGGGATCTACACACAGCCTCCTGTGTTCTTGCACATAAGGCACTGCAAAAATGTTTCCATGTGTACACACACACGCACATCTCCACACCAGCTTGAGCACACACATACATGTGTGTTCCGTGTACACACTTCCCCACCCTTGTGCACGTGCACACAGCCCCACTTTCATGTCCACACAAGCATGGTCCCCGGAATCCTTGTTCCTGCGCGTCTGTACCTACGAGTCCCTGCCCACGGGCACACATGTGCACCACACCTGGCAACGTGCACACACATCCAGTCCCCGCTTCCCCCTTTCTGGCTCTGGGCCCCGGGAACTGGGCCAGGCAGGCGGGCTGGAGTCTCTGCCAGGAAGGTCCCACTTCCGCGCCCCCAGCCGGGCGGCCGCCAGGTGCACGGTCCCGGCCCCCGCCTGGCTGGCCGGGAGGGGGCGGTAATTACGCGGCCCCGGGGTGCCCCCTACGCGTCTTTCATCCCGGCCACGCCCGTCCTGGGCCCAGACGCTCATTACCGCCTCCCCGCCCGGTCATTAGCTGGGGTCGGGGGAGGATCCGGCGTCCGGCGGGCCGGACCCTGCGGGGAGGACGGAGGGGGCGGTGCGGGAGCCAGACGGCCCCACTCCCGTCTCCCGGGCAACGCCGGCGAGCGAAAGGGCGGGGCACCCAGCCCGGGGATCTTCAGCGGGTGCCTGGGGAAGGGCGTCTTGTGAGGGCGCAGACGGGGACCTCCAGCCTAATCCCCGTCCCGCCGGGCAGGCGGCGTGCCCCGCGCGTCCAGGCTTCGAATAGCAGCCTCGCCCCCGCCCTCGGCTATTTTGAGTCCCCTCCTCCCCCGGCCACCCCAGTGGCACAGGGGCGGGCCTGGGGGCGGGACGGGGACTCCCTCCCACTCTGGTGCACGCGACCCGGCCGGCTGCTGGACCGCGGGGCGGAACCGGGAGACCCCGGCCAGGTTGACAGCGGGGCTGCAGCGCCCTCTTGTGTCCGTCGGGAGAGTGTGTGGCCCTGCGGCCGCGCCAGGGAAAGAAGTGGTCCCAGGCTCCTGAGAGCCCACACCCCCCACCCCGCGGACACAATGTCCTGGTTACACACTGAGTCACCGGGACATGCAGACGTAGGTAACTACAGAAACACAGATACGGATACAGGAAACACACCTGAGATGCAAGCACACAGTTCCCACAGAATGCCTGGTCCAGGCGTACCTGGGGACAGGTATCCATCCACAGGTATAGGTCCACACCATGATGGGAACCCAGGACAGTCCTGGGTTCCCACGGAGTCTGGTACCCAGCAACAGGCTTATAGTAAGTAAATGCCTAGTAACGGTGTACTGGTGGAATGAATGCATGAACCAGGGCACTTCACAAAACCAGAAGACAGACTATGAACCACAGAATAGTGAGGGTGGGGGGCAAAGAGTGATGGTGGGACCCCGTGACTGCAGGGAACGCCAGGCCTGAACCAGCGTCAGGAGCCGCCGACCTGACTCTGCTGGAAGAGCAGAACAGAAGGTGGGGGCGGGGCTTCTCCCTGGGCCGGGCGTGCCTCGTCCCAGGCCGCGCCGTGGGTGCCAGCGGGAAGGGGAGCTGCGTGCTGGTTCTCTCTGCTCCTTTTAATAAGCGCCCTGCGTGAGTGGCTGACGCAGCAGCAGGCTGCTGCTGACGGGAGCTGTATGGGGGTGGGGGCTATGGCGTAGAGGGACAAGGTGAAGTGAGTCATGAGCTCCTGCCTGGGGGAGGGGGTCCTGAGCCGAAGGTGGGGGTCCCAGGGACCTTGTCGCAGGAGACAGTGTCCATGCCCACACCCCGACTGCATCAGTCAGCTAGACCCACCTGAGTGTGGCAGCAAGTCTGAGGCCTGGAACTTTTCTGGTGTGAGCAGCAAAGTGGGGTCTCTGTTCTCAAATCTCCCTAACTTATGCAGAGGGTCTGCCCTTTGAAGACTTTCTAGGGCAGGGCTTTCTTGGGTCTGAGCTAGCTTATTCCACCCCACGGAAGGGTCCAGGGCCACAGAAGGTAACATGAGCCAAGGCCTAGGCAAGTAGGAAAGTGGTGGCCACAAGAGGAGCACCCATAAGGTGGCCTTGGGGATCGCAGCAGCAGCCTTGGCGGTGAGGATGTCTGAAAAGCTGGTTCTCCTGATAGCAGAGGTCTCCAGAACCCCCAAAAGCAAAAACATGCAGGGAGAGGAGCTGACTGGTACCGAAACCCCATGGGCAGTGGGTGGGTTCTGGGTGAGCAGAACAGTGTGCTGCTGGGGGCACTGGAGGATGTGGTAAAGGGAAGGGGGGCTGGGGCGGAGAGGAGAGGCTGAGCTGAATGTTAGGACAAGAGGGCTGAGCCCAATGGTGGGTCTGAGAGCCCAGGTCAAGGTCAGCCTGTGGTCTAGTGCTGGGATGCACAAGTGTCTGGCTAGGTGAGTGTTGGGATGTGGGCATGGCACCAGGCAAGCGAAGTCAGGGTTGGGATGGGAGTTAGGTGTGGATGCAGGCTGGAATTTGTAGGCAAACTGGGTTGGGTGAAGTTGGGGTGCCCCAAGGTTGTTAAGTAGGAAGAATTGGGATCATGGTGAATGTTGAGGTCCACAAAAATGGAGCTGTCTCAGTGTTAGGGTCTGGGTGGGCTTTGGGGCAGACCGCGTGAGGTGTATTCAGAAGTGTTGGGGTTCTGCGAGTTCTGGGGTGTCGGTTATGTTGGCAAGTATATAAGGATTGATGTCGGGGTTCAGATAATTTGGGGTGTCTGAGAACTGGGTCTTAGGTGGTATGGGGACCTGAGTGAGGTCGGTATATATCGGCAACTGTTGGCGCACAGCGAAGGTCGGGGCTCCAGTGACCCCTGGAGGGTTCCCAAAAGGCTCTGGCCCCTGGCAACAGCTGCGTGAGCCCTTTGTTGCCCGCCACTGGCCCGGGGCCGGCACGCAGAAGTGGGTCAGCCCCGCCCCCGCCGCGCTGCGGCCCC